GATTGGAATATGAGCAACCAGTATCACATTTCAATTGTTAAATGGAAAGATAAACGAGGAGTTACTTTGCTATCCAACTTTCAGAATCCTACTGACGCATGACGTCGTTGAAATCAAAAGAAAATCCAAAGATGGAATCACATCAATGATTCCTTGTCCCAGTGTACTTAAGGACTATAATATGAACATGAACTGCGTCGATAAATTTGATCAGTATAAAAAAATGTATCACACAGATAAAAAAAGTCGAAAATGGTTAGGTTATTGTATATTTTTCTTTTTTTTTTTTGACGCAGCTATTGTAAATTCTCATATTATATATAAAAAAATAACATTAAAACATTTTCGTCGTGAGATCTCAAAAAGTCTCGTTTCAAAAACTTTTGTTCAAAAACGCCAACAGAAAAGTTCCGGATCGCCATCGCCTATTTACATAAAAAAAAGCATCTGTATCACCTTCATTTCGCAAAGATCAATCACCACATCAGCCAGACCGAACGACAAGAATAAGATGCGCTCATTGTAGCACTAAAGAAAAAGAAGTTCGCACAGATTGGAAATGCACCATATGTTACGTACCACTTTGCATTTCAAAGTCAAAAAATTGTTTTAATAATTACCTGCACTCATGTTAAAATGTAAGTTTTAGTTATTTTAGATCTAATATTATCAATTTTTAAATCCTAATATATGTTTTTGATTTATTACAGCGCAAAGAAAAATATTATGATCTTGCATAGCAGGACATTTTTTAACCCACTTCTTTTTTATAAATAAAAAAACAATTTTTTTAATTTTTAATTTTTGAACATTTAATTATATGTAATAAACAGAAAAGTTTGAAAAAAATAAAAAACTAAGTTTGTGTGCTACACGGGTTTTTTCATTTGTAAAAATGTCGTGCCTCAAAGAGTTGGTACATTATTAGAACATTAATTTATAATAATTAGGGCTCGGAAGTTGATGAATTTTGCATTTTTTTTTGGAACTTTTTAGACGATGCTCTCCTGGCCACAAATCTGTTTCGTAAGCATGTGAATCTAAATAACTAATTTTTATTTTGCATTTTTTTGCATTTTTACTTTTTAAGTCATTTTTTGAAATTTTTAGGTCATTTTCCCACAATTTTAGTTATTTTTACTGATTTCACACTAGTTTATTTCTTATCGTTTCTTGTTGACCATTATGCCGATAACTTAAACCACAGACATTTATAAAACAAATATTTTTAATTTTTTAATTTTCCTATTTTAAGGACATTTTTGTCATTTTTATGTCATATTTTGAATTTTATAGTAACATAGAGTAAAATATTTTAAAAAAATGTATTTTTATTAATATAAAACTAATATTTGTAATTTTTTTAGGACAGTTTTTACCATTTTTATGGTCATTTTTTATTGTTTTTAAGGTCAACTTCCGAGTCCTAATAATAATATTTAAAATCTATATTGCATATTGCGTGAAGGTACCAAGGCTAATTTTTTTTTTCTTATATAAGTATTATGTAAAATTCTTTTAAATTAATAATAAAAAAAGTAATCAAACTGATAACGAAAAAATATTTGAAATTCATTTTATTTAAGTTCCCTATATCATGTAATTCATACTATTATGTGTAACAAGTTTGTGGAAAAAAAATTTTCAAATTTCAGAGGCGGGAGACACGGGGAATAAAGGATTTTTACATATTACAGGAGAGGGGGTGGCGTAAAAATTCCAGAAACTGTCGTGCAAATGCATGTAAATTACATATTAAATATTGACGTAGAAAATTTTTGGAAAAAATTATTTTTCCGCGTGGGCAAAGCTAAGAAACGTTTCCCCCGCCCCGCATATAGAAAATTGAATTTTCTGGGTAAACCGGTGCCGTACAAATTCATACAAATTATGTGTAAAAGGATTGTGTAAGAAAAAGTTTAGATTTCAAATTTGGGGGGGGGGGGACACGGGAAAATAGATTTTTTGCATATTACAGGAGAGGGGATGCCGTACAAATTTCGAAAACGGTCGTACAAATTCGTACAAATTGAGTTCTTGAGATTTACTAAATTAAAAAAAAAAAATACTTATTTATATACGTTAGGGGGGTTGGAGACATATGTCTCTGGCCCCTCTTCAGTATTTTTGATAGTCTAATAATAACGTCGTACAAATTTTGAAAACTCTTGTATAAGTTCATACAAATGACGTACAAAATATTTGAATAAAAATTGTTTACAGTTTTCGTGGTGGGGAGGGGGGCTGGTGACATGAACGTCCGTGTATATAGGGACCGTCGTGGATAGATCAGTAAAGAGGGGGGGGGGGGTCGCGTCTAGAATATTCGGACGCTGTCACCGTAACACACGCGCATCATCGAATGATCGAGAATATTATCGATCATTCCAGATCTGTACCCAACACTAAGAATAGAATTGAATACCTACAACTTCTTCACAGATTCCTTATTTTTTAACTTTTTAAGAAATCATAGTCATAGGGCACCGCCTGAACTTTTCTATCCGTGGTTAGGTTAGGTTAAACAACTTAAGTCAAAACCTCTTGATACACATTATATACATTCAGAGTTTTGCTTTGTGGTATATAAAATATAAATGGTTAAGTTATTCCATTTTTGAAAATTTTACATAGAATTATCTATGTGAAAAAAAGTTACTTTCCAAATCTACTTTACAGTACGCTAATGTTTGATTTTACGATTATTTATTGTTATTGCAAAATAAACTTTTATTGGGGATCAAATATTTTGAATTGAATTGGAAAATTATTAGAGTATATTGGTATTTTCGGTAAAAATGTTTTTTATCTTCTATAGTACGCATCCTGTCAAAATTGAAAAGAATAGAACATGTATTTACAAGTATTTGAAACAACTTTGTAAAAAAAAAATTCATAAAAAAAGTTCAATAATATCGTCGGAAACATCTAGGTACACTGGCGCACTTTTCTATATAAAAATGGAGCCAAAAATGTATAACAATTCATCAATTGAGAATGGCTGGGCCGATTTGGCTCAAATTTTTTTTTAAATTGTTCGTAATTGCCAGGAGAAGGTTTTTAAAAAAAAAATTTTGGAAAAACTCTAAACACCCGCACCACAAATACTTTTTAATATTTAACGTGTATTTTTATATACATAGATTGTTTAAATTTTTTATTGTCATAGTAAAAAAACAAATTAAAAATTAAAAAATATATTATTATAATTAAAATGTTAACGTGGGTTTACTACATGGACTTAACAACTTTATTACGCTCCTATAATTCCAACAGCAGTTCTGGCCGCATGGGTTAAGGTGTCATTTAAAGTGTAGTGAACCGTCATGGTTCGAATTCAAATCCACTCAAGGGATCAAAATTGAGAACGGCTGGGCCGATTTGGCTCAAATTTTTTTTAAATTGTTCGTAATTGCCAAGAGAAGGTTTTTACGAAAAAAAATTTTGGAAAGTCTGTGGGATCAATTTAGAATTTTCATGTTTTTCGCACGGTCAGCTGTACGTTGCCAGTTCTCGTGTTGGCAAATCGTCTTCGTTGTTTATTTTGACGACAGAAAACAAAACGAAAAACATTGTTTATCATATTGCTCTCAACTGATTTCTGTTTTAATTCATAAAAATCAATAAATAAATTCTTGAACTATTTGTTTTATTATCACTCTAAAGTTTATCAGAAGGCGTTAAGTTCGCCGGGTCCACTTAATATTAAAAAAAAATTTTTTGCAAAACAACGTTTGCCGGGTCAGCTAGTTTAAATATAAAAATATAGAAGAAGAGGACGGAGATAACAATTTTTAGTCTAACCACTCTAACCCTAGCAAGGGCCCTTTAATAAGATCGCAGACTGGGCCTTTTGACGCCAGTCCGACTCTGACTATGAGTAACTAGACTTGGTGAAGCATCTCCTGGATAAATAAGCACTCTCTGTTTAAATCTATGAAAAATATGGTTTAACATTTACGTTAACTCACATTCAAAGTGTAATATATTTACGTTTTTAAATCGAAAACTTATTCTCGTGTAAGTATTATTATTTGCTAGAATTATTGTCATTTTTTATCGATATATAAAAAAATTATTTTATATCTGTTTAATTTAATTCAGTAAAATGTATTTTTCGAACTAAACCTGCAGTATACCCCTAGGAATTTACATTTTTTTTTTTAGCTTTTCCTACTGTACCTTACATCTAATGTGCGCCTATATACTTTTGGTACAGAATTTTGTAATTTACCTACGCCATGTTTCCGTACGTCAAGCGGCATTGACTCAACAACGTGTGCTATGACATGAAATAGATTTTTCATACCAGTGTCCAAAAAAATCATTTACTTGTTCAAATAACTGATTTCACTTTAACGTTTAAGCCGTCCCGCAGGACGTAGGATCTAACTGGGAAAAATGATCGAGTACAAAAACGGTGTAGGTACCTACCTCCATTTAGTTACTTATCAACACCGTGCAATTATTGTTAGTTGTTGAAATGTCTTTCCAAAAATATTTTAATACACATAATCACACAGATACTATGTTTAATAGAATAATAAGCATTTAAAATACGTACCTACCTACTTGAATTATTCACGATTCAAGTCTTCACTACTAAATACTATACGTCATATTCCATACTGGGCGCGTGCTACACGTACTGGTTACCATAGATGAATGCCGATCTCCGGGTGGGTACAACCACCAAAATATTATTATTTCGAGATACCTACCGGAAAAACTATGAATAACTAGGTACACTCTATGGGAAAAACGAACCGACGAACCGACAACGGTAATGAAACCTAGATGGCGTTGTAACGTGACTTTATCTCGTAAACATTAATTATTATAATATATTATGTTTATTATTTTTTTTTATTCCTCTATCTAGAATTGGACAATACGTTGTGATAACAATGTTTACTACGGACACAGAACTGATAAGCGACAATAAGAGTAAATTGAGACTTGTGAGTTGTGAGGCTAGCGCCCAACACAGCGCAGTGCAAGCGGCATCCACCCGCTTCCCACCGTAAAACCACCAACCAGCCCACCCGCGGCTACCGCTATATCCTCATTTATTATTACTATTATGACCATTGTGGGTAACCTACCTGTCTAGTGTTTACCTACGATAAATTTTCCGTCTTCTCTTGTTGAAAAGTGAAAACTAAAATAGTTTACGGCGACGGTAGTCGGTAATGCAAATCGTTTCGATTTTACACGCCCGACTGGGTTAACACTACGGACTACGTTTATTTTATTCTTTAAAATGTAAATGATTTTTCGAAAAAAATCCAATTTATTTCATACACGGATCCCGTTGGTTAACCATTTCGTTTTTCCTATGAGCCGTCATTAGGAATAACTCACGTCTGTAGGTAATCTAATAACGCTTGAACTGAGACTTGAGAGTAAGTACGTGTGTTATGTACATTTTGTGTGTGAGCGTTTGTTTGTTTGTTTATTAGAGATAATATTATTATTTATGCACATATTTGAAATTGACTTGAGGTCTTACATGGCTACTTCCTTTTCTCACAATGTTTTAAAACATTGTTACCTCTTTTCAACTGCTTTAGATCTAATTGTTTTAAATTTCCACAGTGGCTATTATTACTAATTTCTATTTTTATTTTTCTATAACTATACACAAAAATCTAAAATCATAATCAAGTATCAAAATTTATGATAACCAAATCTCGCTATGTTTCATTGAAATAGTTAATTTATTGTTTGAAAACATAAACTATGATGATAAAGACAAAGAATGAGCTAATCAATAGTTTGATAAAATTACAAAATGTCGCTGATCACGATGTGATTTTTAGAAACAAATGGATCCATTTAATCATTCAACTCCATTCTTTTAAAATAGACTCATATCTTGTATGTTATAGAAATATTTAGTGTAAATTGAAAATTTGCCTTTTCTTTTTTTGATTTTTATTACACTAAATTAATTTAATCAGATTAGTTTTTGTGAGACTAAGACACCTTATTAGATTGATTTATAAATATAAACATTTTGTTATAAATATCATTATTGTTCTTATCATAGTTTATTTTATTTTTTCGATAATTTAATTATAATTTTTTTTTTTTTTTTATGTAAATTACTAATATCAAATAATTTAAAAATTTCTTAATAAAATCTATAGGTTTCAGTTTCATAGGCTATAGCAATAACCTAAATTTAGAAATTAATTTTATGAATACTTGTCAAAGATTTCCAAACTATTCATAACTATAGTTTTTTGCTTTTCATTTTTTTTAATTTCCTTGTAATAAGTTAAAGTATGACTATAGAATTTATCATTAAGTACATACTATGTAATAAGGATGTATAATTTTTAATTAATCAATATTATATTAATGTACCCAAATCAAGTCTTTGTAAATCCTATACATCACTTATGCTTATTATACTAAATTGTATGGACTATGATAAAAAAAAAAAATTAATATCCCAACGTTATCTAATGTATGTTATTATTTATTATGAACATGATCTTTGTATATTTGATTATTGACTGTCTTTGTTTAAATAAAATATATAAATAATAGTTAATATTTATTTTTTTCAGTTACTATCTATGTTAAAAAAATATGCTTGCCTATGCAGAAATGTCAAAAATGGACACATGTGGCATTCAACAAATCACACTTGGATCAAATATTATTGTCGATGATTTATTTTTTAATGAAACAAACATTAAATTAAATAGTACTAAGAACGAAGTGATACTATCAGATTCATATAGTGATCAAAAATATATTCCGAATGACATTCATAATAAATTGAAAAAAGATAATCTAGATGTTAGTAATGATAAATCAAAGAAACTTAAACTTAAATGTAAAAAAGGTCAACAAATATCTTTAAATAAACTAAACCTTAATACTCACCTCGAAATTAAACCGCCTATAAAACAGTCCTATACATGTACTATTTGTAAAAAATTATTTCAATACAAATACAGATATGATGCTCATATTCAAAGTCACAATGTTGAAAAACAAAAATATAAGTGTAAAATTTGTGATAAATCTTTCACACGTAAATATCACATTAGCATACATAATAGAACACATACAGGTGAAAAACCATATAAATGTGAACTATGTGAAAAATTATTTTCAATGAAACATCATCTCCTGTCTCACATTAGAACTCATACAGGTGAAAAGCCTTACACTTGTGACATGTGCAATGAATCATTTACCCGCAAAGATATTCTAAGCAAGCATGTTAGAACTCACTTAGGTGAACAACTTTCAACATGTATAAAATGTCAAAAACAATTTTCTATGAAAACATATACTGGAGAAAAACAGTACTTCTGTCATTTGTGTCAACAATTCGAGCCTCAATCAAATATTTTAAATAACATTAACACTAATCTTAATCATGACTTTGGCTTAGAATTGCTTAACAATGACAAATGTATTGAAACAACAGACTTTGTTGACATAAAATATGAAAACAACATAGAAAGTAGTGACGAGTCAAAGTCGGCATCAAACATGTTAACATATCAACCCTACGATGAAATGCTGAATAACACTAAAGAATTTCAGTCTGATGTAAAATGCCTCGAAACATTCTGTAGTGTAGAATTTAAAGAAAAGCCATATAAATGTCATATGTGTCAACAATTGTTTTCTAATAAACAAAATCTTGATTCTCACATCAGAAGCCACACTACAAAACAACCTTATACATGTACAATTTGTAAGAAATCGTTTTTCTATAAGTACCGTTTTGATGCTCACATAACTAACCATAAAATGGACAAATATAAATGTAAAATTTGTGAGAAATCTTTTACTCGAAAATACCATTTTGATACTCATTATAGAATACACACTGGTGAAAAACCTTTTAAATGTGAAATATGTCTGAAATTATTCTCGTTAAAACATCATCTTATATCCCACATTAGAACTCACACTGGCGAGAAACCGTTTAATTGTGAACTTTGTAATGAATCATTTCGCCGTAAAGATATACTTAGTAATCATATTAGAATTCATACTGGAGAAAAACAATTTGTTTGTGATTATTGTGAAAAACAATTCTCTATGAAACAATATCTTATTAGACATATGAGAACGCACACTGGAGAAAAACCATTTATTTGTCATGTGTGTCAAAAAAGATTTTCGCAACGATCTGGCCTTGATTGTCATATAAGAATCCACACTGGAGAGAAACCGTTTCAATGTAAGGTGTGTAAGAAATTATTTTCTAGAAGAGACAATTTAACAATACATATGTCAACTCATAATATTGATATAGAAGTTGGAAATCAATGATGACAGTTGAATTAAAACATTTTCTTATTAAAAAGGGTGTATTGCAGTGATGTATCAATTAAAAAACCCAATTTTTAATGTGTACATTTTTACACGTTTTAATAACTCACTATTCTAGTCCTAACTGCCTCAACCAAGAAAAATATAAACCTGGAATGTGTATCAAAGAAATCCTGTTTACATTATTTTAAAATTTATTGATTTATATAATTGTTATGTAGTTATAATTCAAATTGTATTCTTAGTTGTATAAAAATTTATTATTAATAAGTACATTCAACAGTATATAATTTTTTTAACATTCATAATTTATTACAAGATGATATTTTATAAATTCTTTTGTATAATTGTACACTTACAAATGTAGTAATAAAATAATTTCTAGATCAAACTTAATTTCAGTATTCCACGTTCCAAAAGTTAATTTATTATATTATTATCTGTTTATTGTTTTTTTTTTACTTTATAAACGTTGTCGACAAATTGTATTTTATTTATTTAACATCTATAATTTATGACAATCATACAAAAGGCAATATAATTACAATATTTTGTGATTATAATTCTATTAAATTTACTTTTTTGTAATATCTAAATAAGCGATTTAATAAGTGATTTTTGGTCAATATTGTTGTAATATATAAATATTAAAATATAATTATTATTATATTTACAGAGTAATTACCAGTGTAGTTTTTATCGTAACAAACTTCCACATTCAAATACAAATAAATTCATAACAATATTGCATTTAAAAACAATAATACACATATTACTTTATTCTTGTGTGTTGCTTCAATAGAAAAACAAATGATAACAAAACGTCAATTTTTAAGAGACTTGAATTTTACAGAAACGATTCATGTTATTTCTGATGTAACAAATACATTGAGTGATAGTGTTTCGTTCTCTGCGCATTAAATCTCCCATCAACTAAAATCAGTAAAACATTTTAGAAATACATTAAACATGTGATAGACTTAAATATCAACTTACAGCTTCCAACAAGGCACTCTTCCTTTCAACAATTTCAGTTCGTGGTGTCTTCATTGGTGGCATTTTTTTGACTGGTTTAGATTCTTTTTTGGAAGTGTTTTTACGTTTTTGGCCACGTTCATTAATGGATTTTTCACATTTATCATTTGTTTTAGAACATACGTCAGTTTTAACATCAGTGCTAATAACTTCACTGTCACGATCAATTATTAAAGTGGAATCGACTTCTTTGTTTTTAATTATTGAAGTAGAATTTGAATTTTCATTTTTTTCAGTTATTAAAGCATCTATTACTGGAGTAGAACTGGGTTCTTCGTTTTTCTCTATTATTGAAGTTTCTATTACTGATGAAGAACATGGTTTCTCATTTTGTTCTAATACATTTTTATTCTCTAGTGACTCAGATGTTCTAACTATAGGTAGTTCTTCAGGTGGTTCATTGTCACTTAGATCATCACTAGATTGATCATATTGCTCTAATAGTTTTAATACAACTGATTTATTCGACTCTTCTAATTGTTCATCCTTAACAATACCTGCATAAAATAAAACAAAACAATATAAATTACAACATTTAATTAATAATATTATACTACATATTATACACATTGATAATGATAAATTACTATAAAAGTATAATTAATGAATTACAATAACTGAATGTAAAAACCAGGCAATTAAATAATGAATAGATTTAAAATTTAATTTTGAAAAAGATAGAATATCATTCTTGAAAATAATCCTATACATAATTTATTGTTTCATTTTAGTATTGAAGTCATTATCAGTAACCAAATGTTAAGAAATATTTTGGAATAATTATATCGCTATATTATAATATTTTAGAATATAAATTTAAAAAAAATGTTTAATACAGAATTGTATGATTTTAAGATGAACTAAAAAACTCAATGTTAAGTGCTAAAAATTTTTATATTAAAACATAGATAAAATTTAAGAATATTATAGCATATTACTAATTGCATCTTAGTCAATAAATAATCAAATGTGATTAAGTAATAATTCAAATCACTTAAATATTATTTATTTAACTTAAAATTACCATTGAGGTAAATTGGGAAATTATTTTGCATATTAATTAACTAACTTTACTAAAATTATACATCTATACTCTTTTCAAGTTAAGAAACAGTCGGCAGTGTCCAGTTTTTATCTAGATAAAGTCAGACAACATCCATTTGTCCTCCTTACCCAATCAATCATTTATATGCCTGATATAGTTTAACAAAGCTTCTGCATACTAGTTAACATCAACTACATTTCTTAACTTGAATAGAATATAGTCATAGCTATTTATGCAAGGTTTGTGATTATACTGTACATATAATATAAAATAAATTACCAACTATTCCAGCAAAACGTTTTAAGTTTCCATTCATTGGTTCTTCAACAGGTTCTGTGAATTCACCATTAAACCTTGGTCGTTTTCTATTGTTAAATCGTTTATTTCCTATAAACAAAATATGCAATTATTATATAATCAGAAGTAAACAATTGCACTAATTTATCATAAAAAATAATTATTTAATTACCAGAATTGTTAGTTTTATTTTTTTTATTAAATCTCTGGAAATCTTCATCTGCTATACGTTCCCCTCTCTTATTTTTTTCATCCTCTATATCTACTTTTGTTTTAATGGCTTCTTTAGTTGGCCATTTTCTGCAAATATTATACATTACAAATTTGTTAACTGAAATAATATGTTCTAGTATAAACTATGATACTCACTTCTTTCTTTCCTCGATCCAATTTTTAATAGCATCTGAGTTATTACTATACAACACTTTCTTGTGTAGTCCCAATCGATGATGCATATTTTGATGTTCTTTAACAGCACTAGCATGTCCCACAAAGTCACAATCACCTAATTCACATGCTACTTGGTTTTTATCATTTTTAGGTACAAAATTACTTTTACTCTGATTATTAAAACTAAGAGGAGGTCCTCCTCTAGGGCGATAATTTTGATATTGCTGTCTAGGTTTAAATTGAAATCTATTATCATGTTGTGATTGCTGATATCTTGGATTTTGTTTATTAAAGGGAAATCTTTGTTGTCCAGGAGGCCTAAAAGAAGGCCTTTGATTGAATTCATGTCTAGGTAAATTAAATGGAGACTGCTGTTGTTGATAACATTGATCTGCTGGTAATTTGTATGGTTCAGGATTCTGTACTTGAGGTCGAAATGAATTATTTGGTGTTGCATTAATACCAGGGCTTGGAGACTGGTATGAAGAGCCAACTGGCTGATTGCAATTTAAATTTATAGACTGAAATGGGGGTGGTATATTTGGATTGTTAAAATTTTGGATTGGAGGAGGCTGGTTGTAGTTTTGAATTGGAGGACAATTATTATAATTTTGAATAGGAGGAGGTTGACTAAAATTTTGGATAGGTGGTATAAATACTTGTCCAGGTGTTCTATAGGGAGGTACTGATTGTTGGTTAAAACAAGGACCAGCAGATGGAGGTGGGTAATTAGAATTTGGCGGTATTTCAATATGTTGAATTGGTAATTGATTTTGGACAGGAGTTTGATAGAAAGGTGGAGGTAATGCAGTATTAGGAACTTGGTACGCAGGTATTGAGGGGTCATGATGTTGTCGGGGAGGTTGATAAAAAGATCCTGGTGGTGTAAACTGTTGTGGAGGTGATTGAAATCGTGGACCAAATTGTTGCTGTTGAAAAGATCTAGGAGTATATGACTGTGATTGTTGATTAGGCCCATTTGGTGAGTAATTTGATAAACCATTTGGACGATACATGTCAGAAGAATATAATTTAGTTATTTCTGAAATAAATATAAATATTTAAATTAAATTTAAAACCTTTTCTACCTCACAATCCCCAGCAGCCTTCCTAGACGCTTAAAACATAAATGGTGCAGAAACCTTTTACACATTTTAATCTAAAAAAATAAAAAAAATATAGGTCCAAATACCTAAATTCTAATCTTACAACTTTTAAAAATCAACATTAAAGTCATCATTGGGTGACTTCCTTACTCATTATTTTTTGTTTTGTGTATACTTAGGTATTTTCTCTTATCATATATACTTATTGTGACATATGATATAAATTGTATATTTCAACTTAGAAATAAAAAAAAAATATTAAAATTAGTAACAACTAAAATGGTGATATATTTTTTTTGTGTAAACCATATTTTTCATACCATAAAAATAAAGAAGATATATTATATAAGTGCAAAACAAATTTAAAATTCTATTAAAAACATAAATTATGAATTTTTAGTATTTGAATAATATAATGTTAGAAACTGTTTAAAACTAGTATTGATTTTGAAATAAATTAAAATAATTCCTCAAATCTAAAATCTTTAAAAATATTAGTATAACTTATCCAAAATCAATCACTACAAAAATAAATAGATTATATCAATCTTGATAAACCGTAAATACAAAAAAATCACAATAGATTTTAAAAAAGATAATTTTCAGTAGTTACTAACTTAAGATAAAAAGCTGAGAATATTTTAATTTTGACTTTATATAGTGGACATTTGTTCAGTTATACAGATATAAAAATTATATCAAAATGTGTGTACCAAATCATGATGTGATTTTTTTATTATTTATGGAACGTGATAATTTTATTTGTTTTGATTAAACTATTTCTGGATACAAAGTTAAAAACACTGCAATAGTTGGGAACACAGCAATAACGAAAAATTTTTGTTAAATATTTAAAACTTAAATTTATATAATTGTAATCTAAAGGAAAAATACCCAGTAGCCTGATAATAAAATCACCGTGCAATGCATGTAGTTGTTTTTCAAAATACACGTTCCTCGTTATTAATTTCGATATGCGAATTATATTTGATACTCGTGATTTTAAATTGTTTTAATATCAAACTAGATTAAAGACCAACTTGGAATTTAAAACCGTGTATTTGTGACTGGCGAGCACTTTAACAAACAGCAGACGGCACTTAGTCCTCGGCACTCGGCAGTAGTCGTAACTCGTATTTCGTACACTTCGTAGCACTCAGTAGCTTGGTACAATATTACAATAATACTTATTGCTAGTTGTTGGCTGTTGCTATTATTTTTTAAACGTACAAGTATTGAAATCGAAGCACGTGTTTAGTTATCACAATCAATACACAGTATTATCATTTATCAGCAACTTTGTCAAGATTTAAAATATTATCTTAAATCATGGCGGTAATCACATAATTTCCCAGTTCGCCAACCTTGTGTATCGAATTGATGCACATGGTTGCACGGTAACACTGAATTCGACCTCCTCATACACACAATCACAATAACAATATAATTATTAATTATTATTATTCTTATCAATTATCATACTAAAAAATCAACTCTCAAGCTCACTTCATTGCAAGTTGAAAGCTTTCAACTTGCTTTGAAGCTTGATATTGTGTCCAGTCAATGATCTAGTTTTTACTGTTAATTCTTTGTTGTAGTCAACCATCTAATCGTTATGTATGAATCTAGCAATTTTTTTCTCAATTCTTTTAAAACTTAACTCATTTGTGCATTAATTTCAATCAATATTTACAAATATTTACTAAAATGAATTATTCGTCAGCTTTAACGTGATCGTCTTACAGTGTATTTAATTGTTAATGGTTTTATAACCTACAAATTACTAGTCAATATATTTTCGGTAAGCAATTCATCACATATCGTGGAAAATAATTTCACATTCATCATTGTATATCTGAATTATATTAACTAGTATATATGTTTCAGTTGTAGTTTTATACATTTACAAAATCTAGTTGAAGTCAGTTGATATGGCTGTTCAACAGAAATACAGACGAGAAGAAGTTAGCGAAGTTAGTTGTTGCCTTAAGTACATCATTTTCAGTTTTAATGTGTTATTTTGGGTAAGATAAAAAAAAACAAATTCTTTTCTTAAAATCTTATTTCAGTAATTTAATTTTACAATTTTAGATGTTTGGTTTGTCCGTAATGGCAGTGGGCGTTTGGGCATGGACAGAAAAAAATGCATTTAATAATCTTAGTAAACTCACACATTTAGCATTAGATCCAGCTTTTGCTTTAATTTTAATTGGTAAGTCTTACATTTATCATAGAAAAATTCAGATTTTGTATAATATTTTGATATTTTTCAGGTGGAATAACTTTTATAATAGGTTTCACGGGTTGCATTGGAGCATTGCGTGAAAACACATGTTTACTTGGAAGTGTAAGAATTAAAAATTATTGCATAACTGAATGCATATTTTGTTTTTAATTATTCATATGAATAATATGCATTTTATTCTATTTTAGTATGCAGTTCTTTTAGCTGTAATTTTGATACTTGAACTAACCGCAGGAGTATTAACTTTTGTATTCAAAGATTCTGTAAGTTTACTTTTTACTTTTTTAATAAATTAACTTTTAAGTAAATTTTTTAATATATATTAATAATAAATTATAGATTAAATCACAAGCCACTGAAGGACTCCAAACATTCATTGTTCATTACAGGGAAGACCCTGATCAGCAAAATCTTATTGATTGGATACAGGAAGACTGGGTATCTTATATTATTTTATACAATTATATTATTCATTTGTATTATTTATTATTATTAATTTATATTTATATTTTTTTTAAATTTAAGTTGCAATGCTGTGGAATCAAAGGTCCTGAAGATTGGGATTTAAACAATTATTTTAACTGCTCTTCACAAAAAGTTGGCAGCCGAGAAGCATGTGGAGTACCTTTTTCTTGTTGCAAACGTAAACTAAATGTAAATTATTATTTATAAGTATATACTATATAAATCTTAACTCCATAATACATACACATATTAAACAAATTCAAAAATTCTTTGTAGGAAATAGTAGAAAATAAACAATGCGGGTATGATGTTAGAAAAGAAGGATTTGTAAGTATAAATATTTTTGTATGTACTTTTATCAGGCGCGGGTCTAAGAGTGCTTTATATTATAATGAGGCTGATGAACTATGTAATTTGTTGCATATTTACTTACATTGAAAATAAATAATTTAATCGCCAATGTAAAAAAATGTAAAACTTCATTTAAGTTACTAAATTTAAAATACATAATTACCCGTAAAAACATAAATCCAAAATTTAATTTTTATTTCTTTTGATTTTTGAAAACCTGTCAATAACTTAAACTAAAATAATATTATATTAATTAAAATAAAAAGTGAAAAATGCGAGCAATGACAAAAATGATGATGTGCTACTATATCACATTGCTTATCAGCACCATGAGAAATTACCAGCTTATAGATAGAATGATTTGCATAATATTGTACTCATAAAAACTCAATTTTATAATTTTTTTTATCATTTGAAGTAAATGTTATAATAATTATATAATTAAATCTGGGAGGGCATTGCACCCATGCACCCCCTTGTATTCGCACCTGATTTAGATTAAGTTGAAATAATGCTAATTAATATGAATCATAAAATTATTATGCTTTATTTATAGTTCTTACAAAATATATAATCTATTACAGTGGTGCCGATCACCTAATTTATCTATGGCAGATGTTAAGTAGATTTTGTAGATGAGAAACTAATCTTAGGACATTGGGACTAAGTTGTTGATTCAAAATTTTACCAATAAAGATAAAGAAATATCATAGAGGATTATATTAATCATAAATAATTATTTTATAACCCCAGCATCTGCTGTCAACTGAAATTGGAAAGATTGCAGGGGGCTCTTAGTTAGGTAATCAAGTATTAAATGTATTACCTAAGTAACTCTTCAAATCCCTTTTTTTATGCATTGCCATAATATATTTTAGTATCGGCATCACTGATCTACTATAGTAAAATTAATTAAAAGCTTTTAACAACTACATAATATTATGTATATTAACATTCAACAACTCTTAATAATGTCATATTATGGCAATTATTATAGTATGCTGAAAAATGGACAAGTTTAAATTTACCAACGCAAACAGGTGAAAGAAATATATATGAAAGAGGTTGCATGCGGGCCGCTGAGGAATGGGTTGAGGATAATTTTATTGGAGTTTTAACAACAGTTATGACTGTCACCATATTACAGGTATTAGGTATTTCTCACTAACAATACTAGGCATGTACTCTGTTTTTTGATATTTGGTTGTATGGTATTTTAATTATATGCATGTTTTATTTTGCATTTTCAGTTATATATTTTTTTATTTTATTTTACAATGCTTGCGTGTAATTGTATTTAGACCGACGATGTCGGAAAACGAGTGGACCTCATCATAAATGAAAAGGGATGTTTGCAATCTGGAGAAGAATGGCTAGAAAGAAATATGCTTTTTATAGCTACTGTATGTCTTATATCAGCATTTTGTAAGGTGAGTTAGATCGATTAAAAATGTTTCGGTTCTAAAACAATATACCCTTTGAATAACTGGAAATAAATTAGGTAAGACAATGCTGTCCATTCACTTAATAGTTATTTTTAAATTAATATTTAATTTCCTTATTGAGTATAAAATTATTTCTATGTAGTCTTGTATTGCACATTCCTTAGGTACTTAAAATACTCTTATTTTTATAACTCAGAAAATTTACTAAATAATTTAATGTAAGTCACCTCTCCATCACACTTACAATTAAATTTTCATTTTAATGCTTGGTTGATGTCATAATATATTGTAAATCTGAATTATCAAGTAGTTCTATACAAACTATAAGTATTTTATAAAGATGTATAGTTTAACAATTTTTTTTAAATGTAACAAAAATAAAAATTTACCCGCAATTAATAATTATTGAATGTACCAAAAATTGATGGTTTTTTGTTATTTTTTTTTTAATTTCAAAGAAAACATTTGAAATTACTTGCGTATAATGACATTCTGTTAACATGATATTTATAATGAATCATATTCTTTAACTTGAGTTAAATTTAAATCACTACACAGTTTATAATGGTAATCTAATCATTACATTTTTTATATTCTTTAAATTAAATAAATTAAAGTCATCTTAAAATATTTTGATTCTCGTTTTTTAATTTATCAATTTTATTTAATATTTCAACAGTTTTATAGTTATTTACAACAATTTAAAAGAGGTAATTTTAGTATAGAAATAATATACATTATCAAGTTTGTGCATGTTTTTAAAAAAAAAAATATTATTTAAATGTTTTGAATTTGATATCACTCTCAATTTTAAATTAATTTTTATGTGTTTATTATTTTTTTATTTCAGATTTTAGGCATATGCTTTGCTCAAAATCTACGTGCTGACATATTTGCACAAAAAGGCAAGTGGCACTAGATGGAATTCATCTTAAGACATGAACTAACAAGATTATAAATATATATAATTTTTTAAGAAGATTTTTAGCCTAATCAATATTTTTTCATACCTAAAATAGTGATAAAAAGATTGTAGTCCAACGTCCAACCGTTGAATGTGAATATGCTTCTATAAATTTTTATTTAATTTTCAGGTTTTTGATTAAGTTTGATTGGTCATTCTCATAACAATATATCATTAATACCTTATTATATCACACTCTCACAAATAATAAGATTTAATTATAGATATCTTTATTCCTTTTTTTTTTTTTAACGACTCATTACTCATACATAGGTTGGTACCTATATGTATGTGTATTTTGTCTTGGAACTCTCTTGACAACTACACATTTACGACCCAAGTGAAATTCCCTACAATATACATGCAGTCATGATACTGAATTTCATTTTTACAATTCAAATACTTAATCCTTGTAAAAACTATTTCTTGAATAATCTCTGCTTTTTAAAATTTTCAAAGATATATTTTGTAGTGACCCAAAACAACTACACTTTTGTTACATCTGTATTGTTTCTTTGTTTACCAAAATTTAGATCTCTTTTTGGGGGGGTTTTTGTCATTGTAATAAATTTAATTTTTGATTTTGCTCAAAGTATCTTAAAGTATTATTTTATAAAGATATGTAAATTGTATTAGATTTGTGCCAAACAAATTGTAGTATTAAAATACAGTTTATTTTCAATTAATTTTTAGGTTAAGTTCCTACTAGTACTACTTACATAATCTAAAATTGAATTATGCTTAACTTCACAAGTATACTAATAATTATTTAAACACGTGTATTACTAACTCTACTAACACACTTAATCTATACATTCCATTATATAACATACACTATTTTGTAAAAAATAAAATAAAAAAATTTATAATTAATAAACAATCTGTAGTTTTTTAATTTTAGCTTTACTTTGAATTATGCAATTTATGCAATTGCACATCAAATTATTTATTCCTTATCCATCATAGTATAATGGTATAATTTTAACTTATCATGCCTTTCTGGTTACTGTTCAAATTTCAAATTAACCATAATTGTTTAATTCAAAAGTTAATAATTTTATAAAGACAAATAATAGAGTAACCAAGTTATTCGGTTATCATTACAAATAAATTTAAAGCATCTTGTAATAAAACAACTTGATTCATTATCTTAATTATTGATTAATAGTACTATTAAACAGTCAAACATGTACGCAAATAGATAAATAGACAGTTCATTTTTTTATTTCAATTTTCATCAAGGAAAACTACATGGTATTTAGTTAAGAAATTAAAATTTCCAAGTTAATACAAAACAAAAGTTAAATAACCAAACTTCATTCAATAACATTTCTATTCTATTGGTCTTTAGAAGATAAATTTAAAGGCTTATAATAAAATAATTACTTCAGCGTGATTTTGCTCAGATATTGTCAAAATAAAATTTGTAAGTGCAAAAATAATTTTATAGAATTTTTGAACTTGATAATATTAAAAACTACAAGTATTTAAATAACAATATTCATATAAAATATGAAATTTTAAATGATACTATTCAGTCTAAAATAAAAGATAAAGTATGGTGAAAAAAATGCTTTTAATTATTAAAATAAAACAAGTATTGAATGTTTATACTCAACATTTAAACAAATAAATACTAATCAAATAAACTTAAATTAAAATATTTTTTAGCCTTTGAAATATAATTTTTTACCATTATATTAAAATATAAGCAAATCAATTATGAAAGAATTCAAAATCAATAAGTTATTTATAATATAAACTGAAATATAAATAAATTTAAGAGAACATTATTAAGCTGTATCATTGAAATAAAAAAAAATTGCTATTTTATGAAAGTATTTAATTACTAACATTTAAAGATTTAAAATGATTGATGAACTAATAATATCTTAAGGCATACTTGCCACATAAAATAATAAAATAATTGAAGACATTTATAATAGGACTTAATATTAAAAAAGTTTCTTTTTGAACACTTGTCATCCTTATATTATAATAGTTAAATACCATTTTTATTTTCAGGAGCATGCCATGTAAGTCTTTCTTCGTAAAACTGGATAACAATTTGTGGGCACATTATATTAGCCTCTTTAGCAGAGATTAAATCAGCTTCTTCAATTCCTTTCCACTTTAATAAAAACATCAATTGGCCGCTAGAATCAGTTGCACCAATAATTTTTTCTGCTATTTTTTCAGGGGGAGTCGAAGAATCAGAAACATCATTATCCCTTTCCTCTGACAAACTGTTATCTTCATCATCAGCTCTATCGTTATCCATATCGTTATCATCATTATCTTCGGTATCATCAGATTTATCAGACTTGTCGGACTTATCAGACTTATTATCAGATTTATCGACTTTTTTATTCGGTAGAGGAGATATCTTTCTACGTTCTTTAGATGGACCAGCATCTGATGATGCGCCACTTGTAGCAGTCGAATTAGACAATGTTCGTTTACGGGTACGCTCAGGTTGTTCCTTTTTTTTCTTTTCTTTAAGTTCCGGATGTTTTAACTTTTCTTCATAATCCTTGATTAATTCTTCACAGTCAAGATTTTCTTCAGGTTCCCAAGTATTATCTGAATCACTGTAACCATTCCATTTAAGAAAATACTCCACCTTGCCATTTCTAATACGCTTATCCAAAATTTTTTCCACAGAATATTCCTCCTCTTGTTCTTCAGCTTCAGAACTAGAATCCGTTGAGTGTTTTTCAACTTCTTTTGATCTAAAATAAAAATACATAAATATGTTGATAATAATACATAAAAATAAATTTATCATTAATTTTGTATATGTTAACTGCAGTAACAACAACAAGTGTTTATTTTGTTATTTTATAAACATAATCTTTATAAAAACATTATTCTTCAAGTATGAAAATAATAGTTAAACATAAAACTTCAATACACGCATAGAAAAATATTAACTTAAAATTACAAAATATAAATTAATGCAATTTATTTTAATTTAATATTTTTAATATTTAAAAATAAGAAAATTAAATTATGATACAACTTAAAAAATAAATTTAATATTTAACATTTTTTATAAAAATATAAATTATTAAAACTATGAAATTAAAATCATAAACTTGTAATACAACTTATCTAATAATCGTAAGAATAAGTTTGTCAAATGGACAGGAATCCAATAATTTCCATCTACAAAACTGCCTAACGTTATTATGTAGCATATAAAGGGATGGCAGCATTAAACTACTTAATGGAGAAATATGAAAACGAATATGTACATAAATGCGTAGTATTTCTATAAACCTAACAGCAGAGAATGTTCCCCGATGTACTTGCAGAATTTTCTGATTATAAATCAATAAGTTTTAAGTTTTCTAAAAAAATTATTTTAATTATTCCTTGCTCGTCTGATATAATCAAAATCGAGTTGGACGATCGTACCAATTGGTCTATACCGAAAGTTGATACAACAAAAACGTGCTCAAGTAAAATTCAAAAGCCGTTGTGTACGAGTGCGCGGCAACGATTACAATGGACGCGCGTAAACAGGTTGGCGGCGACAGTGTGTATACAATGTATATTCTAAGGACTACACATGCAAGAATAAGACGAAACACTAAATAACGTCGAATCGGAATAAAGTTTAACCATAAGTCATCCATTATAGATCTGAAATAAATTTGTGACTTAATATTTTTAGTAGCCCCCTTAAATTTAGACGATGACGGCAGCGGCGGCGGCGGTGGCGGCGTCGACGACATTATCAAGATGTTCGATAGTGTATGGAATACCTTTCGATGATATTCAGCGGGTTACCCACTGACGATATAGGGAAAAGATGTGCAAACAAAGAAGTTAGAAGACGGCGGGTAAAAGTCGAATGGATGGGATATTGGAGGCCCGTCCATGTGTACATTAGCTGTTACTCACTTGGAACTCATGTTGAAGAGTCTTGCGAATAAAACTGAAAATAGATCAATGGCGACGAGATAATATTCAACCAGCGGGCGGAATCGAAGAAAAATGAAAACTGAACTGACTGAATACCGGAATTAAGACGAGTGCAGACTGACGGCAACGCGTACAACGTAGTGTAAAGTGTTTAACTATTATTCATCTGAAAACAACAGAAAATGGTCCGACAAGAAGCAACCGACGAGCAAACCAGGGGAGCAAACTAATAAACGCCAATCGAAATAAATGAATGAAAATTAACAATAATTGTAGTGGTACTGGTGGTAGTGGCGGTACAAACGCCAGTCTGTTAGCAAAAGGGAAACAAAAAATAATGTGCGTGAAAATTATATCTGGCTAGACTGGCTACCTCCAACAAAATGAACTGCAAAATTATTGAGGAAGGACGTCCAAATGACGGGCGTACAAACGGTTCGGAATTATCGTATCCCCGAGAATGCGTGTTTGTCAGTAACGAATGTAACGATATCGTTTCGTATGTAATTTATTGGTTATTACTTTTTTTTATTATTATAATCAAAATTCTAAATGGTGAAATTTATACATGATTGATATTATGAAATATTTTTTTATTACCACATTTGTTATGAATGGATGTGTTTTTGAGGACAATTAGGCCTTAAAAATCATTCTGAAGTAATTGTTTACAAGATTCACCATTTAGATGATAATGATAAAAAACTAATTTTCACTATGCCAGGGTTGGAATGTGCTTTTAATAAAAAAAAAAAAAATGTAAAATTGTATCTTTTATAATGTTTTCGCGAAGTATACATTTTGTTTTGTAGATCACGGATATAAACATGATGTAAATTCAGTGTAACCTCGATAATCTGGACAAACTCGGGCCTAACATATTCGAATTACCGCGTTCACCGGTTTATCTGGGGTCCGGACTGTCGAACATCTATTGTAAATTGTAATATAAGCATGATGTTATTACTTCATAGTGTAACAATACTTTTTACAGTATTAAAGTATTACACTTGAAACAAAATAATTTTTATAAATTGCTTAAAACATTTCAAAAAAACAACGTTATAAACGAATAAAATGTTTGTTTTGTATTGTTTAAGGAAATCGTATTTTTCAAAGCTACATTTACATGTAACAATTAAATCACAACTGTCCAACGCGCATTCTCACGAATGTGATAATTTTTTGCACCGACCAGTCGTGTTCAAAGTCCTTTTATTTCATACAATCGTGCATAAAAGGCATAGAACAATGATTGCCATAAATCATGGACAAGTTTATGAAACCAAATATTTCAAAACTTTAAAGGCGTTAACCCATGACATATTGACATTTACACATTGTATACTACATTACTACTTGAGTTTATTTTAGTCTTTATTTTTTAATGAACCTTGACTCAAATTGTGTTGTCTAAAACTGGAAGTGTGCACTGCGAATTTGAGAAGTATGTGCTAAAAAATAAGACTTTTTTTTATTAGAGATGAATAAATAAAATAAAAATCAATCTTGAAATTAATCCATTCTTTATAATATTTTGAAAATTAGCAAAAGTTTATCTATATTACTAGAAACAGTAGAAACTAAAAAATTCGCTTTATATTAAATATTTAATTATTCTTGATTACTTCGAAAATTTGTCAGCATAATCATATTTTTTCTTGTAGTTAGTCTTTGTGTTATATTTCATAAGTACCTAATTAATAATAGAATATCATAATATATTGTTACACATATTACTGTCAACTCGTCGTATAATATATCTGATCGTGGCCCTGCATACTGCAGTTTTATTATTGCAACATTTTATATTAGTAAATTTTTTTTCAATAAAAATAAAGTAATTATGGATAATATAAAATATAAATAGATTTAAAATTGTTTTTTTGAAAATTCGTATTATTGACTATTGACATAACGCATTAATTGAGTTAGTTACCTTCGTTTAAAATACGGAACAATATAATAATTGGTCCTATAATTACATAATTATGTATTTATTTTTATTATAATTATTATGAATATTCGTTGCCATTTCTGTAGTATTATATTATAAATATTATAATTTGTTTTATAATTTTATATTTATGTTAAATGTATTAATATTTAAAACCTTTTTTGCATATTCTAGAATCTAAAGTTACTGATTAGTCTTATATTTTGCTTTTATATAAATAATATCAATGATCCTTACGTAGAGTTTATCAAATATAAACGAGATTAAAAAAATAAATATAATTGTAAAAACAAAACATTATGATTACATTGTTTTAAAATATTTAGACATTTCACACTTTCAGAACACTTATTTTAGTCAAAGAGATAAATTCACGTTTATTTTTTTTTTTAATTTAATAATTATTGTATAAATATGATAGTAAATTAAAGTTATCATTTTTAAATTAATGTTTTTCATCAAAAAATTGTTGTAGTAGTTTCTTTTTTTGTTATAATTTTTTAATCTAATTTTACGCTATTCCGTAGTGTAAAGTAGAGGAATGTTTCGATAATTTTTAGGAGATTTATATCCAAATTCTAAACTTTTTGTTTTTAAATACCTAAACATTTTTATTTTTTATGCATGGGTTAGATTTTTATAGATAAACTAACCGAAGTTATGTATAAGCGAATACGTTACTGTTTTTTTTTTTTTATTATTAATTAATTGGATCATATTTGATATAAAGTCATAAAATTTCTGTATAAATTATTGTTTAGTAGAATAAATAATTAACAAAAATGATAAAATGAGTTCGTCTTCATAATATACTTATTATTAAATATTAAATTAATTTAATTTCACACATATCTCATAAAAATAGTCCCGTAAAAATCAACTATTTTGTTCAGAAATTTTCATTACATACTAATTACCTATAATAATTATACTGATTTCAATTACATTTTGCGATGACACCGGTCATATTATTACAGTACGTTTGCAAACATTTTCGTGAAGAACGTCTGAGACGTTCGAGAATGTAGCATAACAACCATATTTTATTGTGTCTATATATATATATATATACCGGAAAGACAGACCGTAGAAACATGGAGTTAATCAGCATTTCGCATTCACACCGCGGAGTACGAGTAACCGCCTTGCATCGATTATTTTTTTTTTTAATGTATTTTTTACATGTATGATAATTAATACTAAGTGTATACATTTGCATTTATTATAAATAGTACAATATTAATAAATCATTTTTTGTAAAGTAACAAACATTTTTATTTAGCGACACCATAAGCACCCACATTTTTTTTTTTTTATTGAAAATCAATTTAATAATTTTATCGAGAACATTTAAAAAGCGGACAAAATTAAATATTATTCATTAATTTCATTCCCGATATCATTAATATTATTGATATTATTATTTCTGCGTTTTTAATTATTTGGATATTTACCATGTAATGTATTTATAAACTATATAAACACGAATGCGATAGAAAAACCAGTTTTGACAAATATTATTGTGCGGTATTGCCTTGGTGCTGTTATCGTGAACATGATGTAAAATGGTAAATTAACACAAAGTATCAAAAACTCTGCACAGCACAATATTACGTCAAACAAAATAATAAGAACTTATTTATAGAGGATTGGTCACAAAATGGGTGGCAGGCAGGCGTGTGAGATGTTTTTCGCAAAATATATAAAACGATGGTGTTTTAATTTTTTCGAATTTTATATAATGAATGATAATCGATCAATGAACTAACTGATCAAGCCAGTGGATAGCGCTAGTCTTGCATAAAAACCACTCGTTACTCTACTGATGTACGTGTTTTAGCGAAACTTTAACTGTGCTATGTATGCCTAGTACTCAATATCATAAAAATATAGACCTAAAAGTTAACACTTAGACTGCCTTTTTTTGTCAACGGTTGTATAGATGATTCCTACATAGGCGCATTCTATTTTCAATGTTATTTAAAGTGCTATACATTTTTATTTTATTATGTAGAAATATTTGATACGTTTTTAAGTGATAATAATAATAAAATATCGTTCGATCCAAACTTATCTGCTCTACTCTATTATCGAAAAATATTCATTATTAATTCAATGCTACGGAATTTATCCACATTTAGATTTACAAATAAGTGTGATTATAACAATCCACAATCTTACGTTTTGTGTATTATAATAAAGTAACTGTATTTATTCGACATTAAATTTCAAATTAAAAACATCCTATATCCATAGTCATGTCAAATATTGAAATATAGCAATTCAATCAAACATTTTTCTTCAAAAAAAAAACAATATTATGCTAATTTATGCATCTAAATGTAAAACATGAGTACAAATTAGGTTTTTTTATTGTGCAAATATAATTGATAATATATGTCGAGAAAAGTACAAACTATATTTGTTTTTAATGTTTTATTTGTTTCTACCATTACTTTAGGTATGCATGCATAACACTTACATATCATTAATCAAACTGTACCTATGATATTTAGTTAAAATATACTAAAACTACTGTTGTAATGGGTGTGTCAAGTTAATGTTTTGTGATCGTGTATTGTGATTTGAGCTTAAATTGCATAAAATTGTATAGTATACATAATAGGATAACAAAGTAATATGGATTGTTTGTGTCATGAAATTAAATAACAATTATTGTTCATTGTAATTATTAATAAATGGATTTCAGTGTAATATCAACGAATTTTACATATTTAGTTTAAAATAATTTTTTCTATTGTATTAAAAATATTAAGACAATAGATATTACTTACAAACAATGTAATAGGTACAACTAGTAAATTTAACAAAAAAAAATAAAAGCTAATAATGTAATAAAGTAATATTTAATTAACGTGAAGTGACATGGTTAATAAAAATATATCCATTATACATACCTTTAATATTGTTTGAAAATATTTTTTTATACTTTGCATTATAACATATACATTTGATGCTAAGATAGTTCTACGTTTATCAATCATACAATGTATTATATAATAGTATACGTATAAGTTTCAAGTCTCCAGGAATAAATGATTACTCTTGAATACAATATTATAGATCATTGAATTCAAATTTAACATACCCATTACGATTACAGTTACCAACTCCGATATTGAAACCAGTAGATACTGTACAGCAGAGCGGTATCCATTAGTCCTCCATTTTTTCAACTATAAATTGTGAATACACCCACAAAAAAAAAAATAAATACCACATACATCATTGTAATTTCAATATACATTTTACATTCATTGCTTTGGTCGG